TTCCATTAAAATATTCCTTGGTCAAATATAAATCAAATTGGCTTTGACATTCTAATTTGGCCATGCAATTTTCAAAAATTGCATTTTAGTCACTAAAATTCCATGGTTCAGTCATATCTAAAAAATTACATAGTTCAGAGCCAAATTTCTCTGATCTAAAATATGGAAATAACATTTCCAACCATTTTATAATATCTTTCAAAATTTAATGAAATTCTGGTTCAATTCAATTATCTGATTTCAATACGAAACTTATCGCTTTATAGCTTTTAACACAAATCCGTACCCAAAATCTAATTCCCACAAAAATCCTTGTTTTAGGCCAAACTGTTCATTCCCACAAAAACTTATATTTTAGTTACTAAACAAAATTTAGGGTATTAAAAATATGAATATTTGACTCAAGCCCGAAGGATTTTCACTTGATTCAAAGTTATAAGGTTGATTTTTTATTATTGAAAATTCATGTTCATGTTATATTTTTTAAAAGATAAGGTTGAATCGTATTTTTAAAAATATGGTTTGTAAAGTTATTAAGAATTTACAATGAAAAGTGATTTTTAAGATGTGTGGTTATTTTGAAATCATTAAATGATTTTAGTGGTAAAAGATTTTTTTAAAAGAATTTGAATTATAAAAATCATGTTTACAAGTTGTATATGTGATATCAATAACTAAGAAAGATTCACATAATATTATTAAAAAATGTGATTATTTTATAATAATTGTCTGAACTATGACTCAAAATACGTTTTAGTGCCTAAAGAATTTTTCTTTAAAAATAGATGTCTAATGTTTTCTCCATTAAACGTTTAGGTGCATGTCATTATATTTCTTTATTTTTTTAAATAAAAATATTATTTAAAAAAAGAAAAAAAACTTTTTAAAAAAACCCTTCCCCTCGTCGTCCCCCCTCTCCCATCGCCCTAGCTTCAAAGACGAACGGTCATAATCGGTCGGGTTTTGTTCGAAACATGACGATTAACGCTACGGTGGTATAACACCCATAGTCTGTATATATCTCGAAACACGGCTAAAGATGTCACATTAACTTGACATACATTCATTAAACATGAATGCTTAAAATTTTGGTTCGTTTTAAAAGATTTCATTATTAACTCTGAAAACATTCCATCGACTACGTAAAAATAATAAAGTAATATTTAATTAATATAAACGAATTTGAATTCAGACAGTAATTAGGCATGTTTGTGATATTTAATAAAATATTTAAAACTACCAAAACTCTGCTAAAATTTTAAATCATTTTAAACATGGTAAATTAATCATTCATAAACATGAATATAGCTAGTCTAATCAAAATAAAATAGTCTTAATTTACTATTACATACTATTTAAAAATAAATTGATAAGGCATATGATAACATAAATATATATGCCACTACTAGTAAAAAATAACATCGAAGATGTCTTACTGATACAAGTAGAAGGTGTGATTTCCAAGAAGATGCTCGGAAGGCACCTCACCACACATCATGATCTCTACCTGAACCTACGCATGAAATCATCACATGCTAAGTATAGCTTAGTGAGGTAGTAATAACTCAAGGTGAGAATAAATATATCAAATGTCATGTGTACATTAAAACATTTAAAAAATAAATCAAATAAAATCCCAAACGTTCAAACCAATTTATTTATTTTATTTATTCATCAGAAATCTAAATGAATCATCTTATGATTTTATCAAAAATCATAATAATCAATATCAAACAGAACAATCGTATAACATTTCTTTCCAGTCATATACTTTTCAGAAATTTCATATTTCATTTTCATAGCCCAAAACATATTTAAGAGAATGCAAGGTACGTGAGTCAGACGAATGTGCGCAATAAGCACTGTGCTATCATCAACTGAGACTATGCACTCTAAGTGCAACCATATAACATGCACCAACGATGCTACACATATTGTACACAAATGAACCAAATCATAATCAGATTCACTCCACCTCATGGTATGCCAATTGTACCTAAGACTCTCAATACAACATACAATGAGCTTTCAAATTATTTTATAATCAACATTTCAGTATCAGAATCATTTTTAATTCATCATCATAAAACATAAACTCGGGCAGTTCATACACTAAATCATTCACACACTTGTAAAAATATTATGGAAATAATCCATAATTAAAACATAAATTATACTTATAAAATAATATGAGGTTGACTTATCGCAAGTCGTCCTCAATCAGAATAATTAAATAAGTATATTCACTCATATTTGCCTCACTACAGAACTTTTATACAAACACCTACTGATGAGCTTTTTCCTTTTCTTTCAAATTGTTCGGATTGCTAGATTTTTCGTAGCCTGACAACATTACATAATACAAGTATTCGAATCATATGTTAGTATCTTACTAACATAATCCAAACTTATTAATATAAAAATCAATAAAAATAAAACCGATACTTAATCTATAGGAAATTAAATCATATTTCCAACATAATTTCAAACTTCTCAAAATATTCATTTAATTCCAAAATATTTATTGTCATCATAAACCCTTCAACTTTTTCCAATTCCACAATCAAGCCACTAATTATGAATTCTTTCTAGAATTAACCTTAACTTTCCCATTAACTTCATAATATCCCTTCATCATTATGATCATTTCACCTTAATAAATTTCTCAAATCAATACTTTAACATTCAGAAACTTGAAATTTCATCCTAAATTTTCTTAGGCTTTTCAAATTCAACCTTTCACCTTACCAAACTTGAAAATTAATCCCCAAACTAATATTTAAATTCCAAAAATCAGCATACTCATAACATTTTCAGCATTGTACTATTTTACCCAATTGGTACTTTTACATTTAATAAACATGAAATCAAGTCCTAAAACTTCTAGGACCTTTTGAATTTCACACTCCAATTTTACCAAATTTGAAATTTGGTTTCCAAACCACTTTCTAACTTGAAAATTCCAGCATTTCAATGTTAAAATTCAGCATTGAACACCCCAATTAACAAATTTATGCATTAATGTCCCACAATTCTTAAAACTTGTAAATTAGCCCTTTTCCAATTTCAAGCTTCCAAATTGATCCAAATTAATCTCCAAAACATATAGAACACTTTTAATATCAATTCTATACCATAGGAAAATTTTCAATATTTTTCTCTTTAATTTCCCCTATGGCCGAATTTTCCTAGTGAAATAAGACAAGAATTTCATTCAATTCCAAGCATGAATTCAACCTCCTATGATCAAATTCATGCAAACCCAATCATCCTAACACCAAATTCAATCCAAATCCAATCATCTCTTAAAACCCTGGCCATGGCCAAATGATATATAAGCACCTACACATCATTTTGATCATCACACGTGCTTTAGAATTAATCCATAACACTACTAACATAAAATTCTTCAAAACCAAACATGTTCTTCATGAACCCAAATCCTTAATCTCATCATCCAATCATTTTAACATGTATTTCTTATACCAAATGATAGAGAGTTTGATGGAGAACATTTTTCTATTTCACAACTTCATCCAAAATCCTACTAAAATAGCTTAAAATGGAAAATAATTTTTTTCTTACCTTGTAGAGGTTCACGACAGCAAGCTGATGGAGAAGAAGAGTTCTTGATTTTTTTAGTATTTTTTTATCATACACGTGACATTTAAATTAATTTAATTGAATTTAAAATTTAATTAATGAGAAATCCCCAAAACGCCATTAATAAAAATTTATATTTACCAAATTCCATTTCAATATCTTCCATTAAAATGTTCCTTGGTCAAATATGAATCAATTTAGCTTTGACTTTCTACTTTGGTCATTCAATTTTCAAAAATTGCACTTTAGTCACTAAATTTTCACTGTTAGGCTAAAATCTGACAAATTAACTCCAATTCCACTGATCCATGTTAAATTTAACTGATCTAAAATATGAAAATGATATTTCCAACCTTTATCTAATGTCCTTCAAATTTTTGTAAAATTCTGATTCGATTATCCGATTTATATACTGAACTTTATCGCTTTATAACTTTTAATACAAATTCCGTATCGAAAATATGATTAACACGAAAATTCTTGTTTTAGGCCAAACTGTTCCTTTACGGGCTAAAATATATAACTTTTCAAAATTATATTTTAGTCCTAAACCTTTTAAAGCTTATATTTTAGCACCAAACTTTCAAAACTTACATTTTAGTCATTAACCAAAATTTGGGGTATTACAAGTGGCATCCGTGTAACGTACAGATCGTTGTAAGCGTCGGAATTGCATAAAACTTAAATGAAAACCTAAAAATCAGACGACCTTTCTTGATTTTTTACTACGATCGACGCAGTTTTACGGTGGATGGGAGATTGAGTTTTGGTCACGACGACGAGATGGTTATGATGGTGTCAACTGTTATGGGGACAGACCTACGGTGGCCTATCGGCGATAAAAATGTAAAATTTGGAGTTTTTAATTACTATAATTAATTTTCTAAAATTAAATATTTTATAAAAAAATTTATGTGTGATACGTGTTAGATAATATTTAAATTTAACAGTCGTTACAGTCCAGACACCTAAAAGTGTAACATTAAAAATTTTAGACACCTATTTTTAATAAAAAAAATCTTTAGGCACCAAATCGTATTTTAAAGTATAATATAAGCACTTATGACTTTTAATTTTCTAACTTAAATTCTTTTTTATTATTAGCAGAAAACAGTTCTTTATTTTATTCCTCTATATACTTTTTCCGATCCAACCATTTGAATAAAATATTAAGCTTCTTGTAGGTTTTTGAACTTTGACAACGTTAAACGCATCTTTTGAGCATCTCATTGAATTATTTCATTTCCGTCCATTTTGCTCTTCTTCTTCCTCCTCCCGTTGTTCATCTGTATTTTTTTTTCTTTTTTCCCGCCTTGTTGAAAAAGTGTACCTTTATTTTTCACCCGTTTCAATTTTCAAAAGAAGATCAGAGGGTCCCCCGTTAAAGACCTCGGTCCTGTTAAAATCATTTTGCTTCTTCTATTTTCATCTAAGCCCTCATCATTGTCACCATCTTCATAGATCTTTCTTGCCGCCTCCCCCATTTTTCCTTTTGTTGATTCCTTCCTTGTTGCCTGTTAAAGTTGATTGAAGAAACTCTCTTACAACTCCCAAGTTTGAGACTACATTTGCAGATGGAAGCAGTGATACCATCGACTGTTACTCCAGCGAAGAGCAAATGGTCTCTAACTTTATCGAAAGTCCTTCACCGGCACGCGATGGCGTCGGAGGTTGTTCCGGACGACGGCATTCACAAGGTTAAGCTGCATGAGGAGACCGAAGAATGGAATGATTGTAAGACGACCAAGAGATTATCCCAGAAATTTGACAGATTACACGATGAAGAGCATGAAACAAAGGTGGCACTGGAAGCGATTGTTGCTAAAATCTTTGCTATTGTTTCGGGTATTAAAGCAGGATATGCTCAGTTGCAGCACGCTCAGTCTCCTTACGATGCCGAAGGGATCCAAGGAGCCGATCAAATCATCGTCTCCGACTTGAAAAAACTGTCGGAACTGAAGCGGTGTTTCTTGAAGAAACAGTACGATTTTCCCCCAGAGCAAGCATTGGCTTTAGCCGAAATCCAGGAACTGAAAGGCCTTTCTACGACGTTTAAAATCACGGCAAAGAAACTGGAATCTCAGACAAGACTCAAAGAGTCCGAGATAATTTTTCTCCGGGAAAAACTGGATGAATCCAACAAGCAAAACAGGTTACTGGAGAAGAGCTTAAACCAAAGCGGCCAGTTAGTCGTGCTCGACAACCTTCATCTTTCCGGCTTAAATCCCACCCATTTCATCACCGTCCTTAAACAAACTGTTAAGTCGGTTCAAAGTTTTGTCAGGCTGATGATCGATGAAATGAAGTTGGCTGATTGGGATATCAATGCGGCAGCAAGTTCGATTGAAAGAGGCGTGGTGTATTGGAAGGAAGACGATAAATGTTTCGCATTTGAATCCTTCATTTGCAGGGAAATGTTCAAGGCTTTCCATCTACCTTATTTTTCCATTTTTGGAAGCTCAGTACCAGAAACGAAGAAACATCCCCGAGTCTTCTTCGATCGGTTTACAGAACTGAAATCCATCAAAGTTGCTGAATATCTAGCCATGAAACCGAGATCAACGTTTGCCAAATTCTGCAGGAACAAGTACCTGCAAGTCGTTCATCCGAAGATGGAATCGTCGTTCTTTGGCAATTTAAGCAACAGAGAAGTGTTGAGTTCCTATCGATTCCCACACACAACATTCTTCACATCGTTTGCCGAAATGGCGAAAAGGGTCTGGATTCTGCATTGCTTAGCATTCTCTTTCGTCCCCGAGGCATCAATCTTTCAGATAAGTAAAGGGTGTAGGTTCTCAGAGGTGTACATGGAAAGTGTAGGTGAGGAAGCATTCCTTTCATCCGAAACCACGCCGGGATCGGAACCCCGAGTCGCATTCACCATCGTCCCAGGATTTCGGATCCGAGCAACTGTAATTCAATGCCAGGTCTATCTATCACAATTCAAGACGAGGTAGTCCTTGATTCATGTTTTAGTAAGCTAGGTCAGAGGACATGGATTTGGGGATGGTTATTGTGGGGGATTTATTCCTTATGGCCTTAATGATAAATGAGAGGATAATTGGTTTGTAAGACACATTCCCCCCATTTTGTTAATCTCTTGGGACAGTCATGTTTGCCATTATTGCCTTACTCTGATGCTTTTTGTATGTACATAATTATATAGTTTTTGGAACATTTTTATGTGTATGTAAAGCTATGTGGTGCCATGCCATGTATTGCCAGAAGGGCTTGTCTCGTCTTTTTGTCTCCATATTTATCTTGTAGCTCTGATTTTTTTTTCCTGTTTAAGATCTGGGTTCCATGACTTAGTCTGTGTATATATATATATATATGTAAAGAATCTAGATAAACTATTAACGATTAATTATAAAATAAGTGTCTAAAGTATACTCAAATAAGTGTTCAAACTTTTTTTAATCATTCAAGTGTCTAAATGTCATCAACATTACCACTTTAGGTGTCTGAAGTGTAACTGTCGTTAAATTTTGCTGTTAAATGACACATATCATGTTTTGGTAATTTTAAAATTTTTATTTAAAATAAAGAAATTAAAATTATATTAAAAACACAAAAAATTTGAAATACTTTAAAAACCCCAAAAATTTGAAAATCCTCATTTTAACCCCTAAACCACATCGACCGTCATCCTTTGTAGTTGATGAAACTCCACCCGACCTCACCTTCACTCAACAATTGATAACCCTACGAAATCGCGACCAATCGACGATTGTACCATGTGAACTTATGTGGCAAATCGTGACCCCACACAATCCCGATAGTCAATCGACAGCAAGTATACCAGTGTATGACTAGGAAGATGCAAGGAGTACGTAAACAGCGGTGGCCGAGACCAACAAGGATTATGTCGTGGGTGAGGGCTAGGGATTTAGGATTTTTAGAGATTTAGGGTTTTTTTTATAATTTAAGAGAAATCAATATTTTTTATATGAATATAATTATATTTTTACTTTTTTAAGAAATAAATTTTTTAAAATTACCAAACGTGAAACATGTCACTTAAAAGAGAAATTTAATGGCAGTTACGGCCTAGACACTTAAAGTGATAACATTTGTAACATGAAACACCTAGATGATTCAAAAAAAAATTTGGACGCCTATTTGAGAAAAACGATATAATTTGAACACTTATTTTATTATAATTAAACCAACTTTTAACCCAAACTTGAACCTTGCAAGTCTTGGGGAGTTCAAAGATGATAATATTAATTATCATACGTATTATACAAGTAATACAACAAAAATGCAATACAAAATCTAACGAATAATAATAATACTAATAAATATGATACATATATCTATGTGGTTTGATTGGTATGTATCACCTGACCGTGGGGGAGCTTTGGCTTTAGATAAAAGAAAACAAAAATCCACTCCAATTCGTAGTTTATGTGGAAAAGGACTTCGAAATTGGATAGTTACGGCATCAATATCGGGGAAACATTGAATTGGGGGGACACATCAATGTTATCTTCCCCGACAGAAATTAAATTTGACGGTCCAAGTGATTTGGAGGATTGGGATTCTGTTAAAAGATTGTGTGATTTTGGACAATAATAAGCCTATACAGAACTTTGGGTCCATGAAAGAAGACCTACAAGAGTTGTTGCCCGATTTTTGTCCTCTTGTCATAATTAGGGTTTCAACTGCCATGAAATGGAAAGCATTTGGCTTAAGACAAACTGTAAATGATATATCGCTTTAAGTTAAGGAGTTAAGTCTGATATGAACTTTTGAATTATCAGATGCAGGCTATGTCCTACAAAGTATGCCATTGCTTTAAAAACAAGGAACATGAAGCACGGCTTGATTTGATTTGAAGTATGGAACGTTGATTAAGGTGAATCAAATTTGATTTAATTTGAAAAATTAAAGTTTTTAAGTTATGCGAATTTTAATTTGATTGTCAATTTTTTTAATTTTACCAATTAGTTTATATAATTTCTCAAAAGTTATTGATCTCTCAACACCAAGCTCAGTACAACAAATTTATCAATTTATGAAAAAATTTCTACATGACATTGTATATAACGTCACAAAATATACTATAAACGTGACGTTTTTTTATGTTCGTCACATTTAGTGATTGATTGTATATATTTTATGACAATTTTAAAAATTGTCATTGATTTTTGTCACTATACGCTTGGAGGCAAAATTTACCTCCAAACAAAATGGTGGGAAATCTTTCAATGACGTTTAGATCAAATGGCAACGCCTTAAAATCGTCTCTAATAAAATGGAAGTGTCAGTGACGATTTATTATTATGACGAAATTATTTGAATTACTGACATTCTAGATTTGTCACTAATAAGTTTTATTTGTAACAATTTGATTCGTCATATTATGTAAGATATAAAAGATGACATTTTATTCGTGCAAAAAATAAGTTTAACATGATGAAGGCAATTATCTGTCACAATCTCTTATTTTTATATGTCAATTTTGAAAATTTTGGAAAAAAAACTTTTTGTGACATCTTAGATCGTCACTAATTCAAAATCTTATTAGTGATATTTTTTAAATAATTTTTTGAATTTTTCAAACTTTTATATGAAGACCTTTTTTGTTTAATACATATAAGATACTTAAACAAGTTGAGTACTAATAAGTCGAGCCCAAAATCAAGATTAAAAGGGGTTTAAATTTAATGTTCAATATATTAATTATGAAATTCTGATTAAATTGAAATATATATAAAGTTTCAATGGTCAATTCGTAATTTTTAGAAATTCCAAGTAATTAATGTGAATTATAGACTGCTAGGGGTGTACATTGTTAGATTTTAACTGAATTAATCGATCAAATTGAAATTGAATTTGGTTAGTTGGTCGAGTAATTAAATGTTAGATCGGTTAATGATTACGATTTTTTTCAAATTTGATTAATGATTAATTGGATTTGAAACTGATTAATTAACCAATATATATATATATACACACACTAAGCACAAACCTAATAAGAATCAAAATCCAATTATTTTTTAACAACAATATCCACATTAAACTTTCAAGATCCCATCAAACTATAATCCATATGGTAAAAAATTATTTAAATTCAAATTAATCTATCTAAAAATTATAATAAATTTATTTTAATCCAAAAATTGATCAAATTAATCGAACTTTGTTTAGCTCAGTTAATAATTTTAAAAAAATCAATTCGATTAATTGTTAAAGAAAAAGAAGTTTGATAAATTTAATTTAGTCATAAATTTAATTTTGACTAATTTGATCCGATCAATGACTAAATTAGTTGATTGAACAATGCCATAAATTATTCAATGACCGAACCTTTAATTTTTTATCTTTTGATATATATTTTTTTAAAAATAAGTTTAATATGATTAGGATCCACTTACACCTAATGTAAAACTAAAAGTTTTATATATCAAAAAAATGATCTTTAATTGCCATGTGAATTAAGAGAATAATATATATATATATATAAGTGGCGTTTAACCTGGTGAATTAAAAGAATTATTTTTAAAAGAGTTTTCTAATATATTTATTTGCATATGTAATTTATTGCTAATAAAAATAAACTTTAAGGGTATTTGGAGATAAAGCCTAAAGCTTGCAGCCGATTACCATCTCTCAAATAAAATAAAATAAAAGTATTATTCTTTAGTTGTAGCGTGAGTTTGCAAAATGTAAAAACAATCATTAGGTTCTACAAGTTAGCGCCTTTGTCTGGGTTATTTGCTATAATTGCGCCGCCGTTGATATTTATAACATTTTAGCTCGTGATTTCTTTAGTCATATATTAGGTTACGACATTTTAAAATTACCCATTAAAGTAAGTAAACTTAATACTATTAAAATTAAGGGTAAACTATTAAAATGACCACTCAACTATGGGGTAGGTATCGATATGACCACCGTACTTTTAATTTTGGTGATTGGTCATATAACTATTTAAGTGATTCAATGTAACTTATACAATTGTTATTGACTAATGGCGAGTTAGAGATCCACATCAGATGTATTGTCTATTTTGTAATGACAAGTGGTTATATTGAAACCACTTAAATAGTTAAGTGATCATATTGTCAAAATTGAAAGTATGATGACCATATCGACATTAACCCTATAATTAAGTGTCATTAGAGTAGTTTACCCTAAAATTAATGCTGCAGAATCTAATAACAACCGAGGATCAAGAAAAAATTGATGGTCCAAGTGATTTGGAGGGTTTCTGTTAAAAGATTGTATGATTTTGGACAATGATCAGCCAATATGATGTTTCAAAATCAAAGGATCCATGCAAGAAGACCTACACGAGTTGTTGCCTGATTACTGTCCTTTTGTCATAATTAGGGTTTTAAATGCCCTGAAATGGAAAGCATTTGGCTTAAGAGAAACTGTAAATGATATCTGGTTTGAATTTAACTCTGATAGGAACTTATGAATTATCTGATGCAGGATATGTCCTACACGTTTATGTATGCCATTGTTTTAAAAACAACATGAATCACGATTTGATTTGAATGATTACTTATTTTATATTCTAACGCTCCGATTTCACATCGGTATTTTGAATCTCTCGAGATTTAAATTTGTATTTGTAATAAAACTGATAATAGAGTAATTACTCATCGGGGTATTGCTACGTCATGAGTCACCTCTAGAAATATGGAGGGTTGATTAAGGAGAATCAAAATTTGATTTAATTTAAAATTTTACTATTTTTAAGTTATGAGAATTTTAATTTGATTGTCAATTTTTTAATTTTATCAATTGGTTTAGAGAATTCTTCAAAAGTTTTTGAACCATCATATAACATCTTAATCCGGTTCGACTTCAAGATCAAAGAATTAAAGCATCATATGTGATCGCTGAAGTGGCTAACTCAACATTTTTTCTTTTTAAACAAATTTTCATTCAGCAACAAAATTCCATTAGTTCAAACATAAATGAAATCATAGGTATCCAAGTTTTACAAAACGTGGAGCTCCCAAATGCATCCCAATGTAACATCACAATATTTGAATAAAAAATAGAGTTAATGCATGCCTCAAGATATACTTTGCTGCTCTGAAAGATCTGGAATACAAGTTGTGCGATAAGCTTCGTGAGATCCTCATAAGAAACTGAGCACTGAAAAAAATCTAGAACTCTGAGCTCAAAAGCTCAT